TTCCAGGTTGGGACCTAAAGGATGAAGATTGTCGTTGGTTAGAGACGCTGAGAGATATGGTTCATAAATGAAGTCATGAGCGCGAATGCTGTACTGTCTGCCTGTCGAAATCCCGTGCCCCGTGATAAACGACAAAACTGACACAGAAATATTAAGTGTACGGCGAAACACAAAAGACATTCATTGTCCCTGTTATCTGTTTCACCTTCTTTCCACTTTGTTCTGTATTCCAATTCGTGTTCCCCCTGTAATTGTTATTTTTATTATTGTTGTAGCATTGGCACCAGGCTTGTCCGCAAGCCGGTTTTAAATATATATATATATATATATATAATTTTATCATGATCCGATATGTTATAATCCTATTAATTTATTCCGCACCTTTGTCTATAATAGCAGAAAACTAAAAAGATTTGCCGATACCTAGGATTTCCTAACGCGGTGCGCTCTAAGGTTGAGCTGGGGCATAATGAGTCATTTTTTGCACTTAAGTGATTATATAATTACAAGATACTACTGTTCCCTATCCTTTCCCTTTTTTCCTCATGGGTTTTAAAATGTAAAAACTAAATGGGAAATTTCAGTTTTGTTTTATAAAATTTATTGGTATTAAACTCACAAGTTATCTATGTTGAATTTGATCAATCAGCCGAGTGCACTTTGTGTATGTGTTCTACTCGATCCAAACCGAGCCTGTTATTGATAAAATATTCGATAAACGATGAACGGTTCGACCACCGGACAGCTGATCAGACCATTTGTTTTTCATTGTCCATTTAGACGATATATCACGACCCATCTTTGCGACATTTTGCGGGCCACTGACCTCGCTCATCTCAGCAATAGCCTCCGGGGTTATGATTCGATTGGAAACAATCACAAGTCGACTATTTGTTTCTTGTGAAAGATGGAGGGTTCGATTCAGTTTCAAAAGGGAAATTAGTCGCGTACATAGCAAATGAAGCGTGAACTGAAAAGCTAGGATGCACTGGACAGCTGCTTTGAGCTGGTTGGGCTTGCAACAAGCTCGCAAAGATGGGTTGTGCTATATCGTGGAAATAAAAAATGAGAAGCAGAACGGCTTCCAAGTGGCCGAGTGGGTAGCATGCTTTCGTTCTATCTGTGAGGTCACGGGTTCGATCCCCAGTTGGGTCGATGGATTCACTCATTGCTGACGAGACTCAAACAAGTCGAAACAGCCGTCCAGTGCTTCCTAGCTTTTCAGTTCACGCGTCATTTGTTACATACACGATCGATTTCCCCTTTGAAATTGAACCAAATCCTCCATCACTCACATGGATCAACGATCCATTTAACGTTTGCAATTTAGACCCTCTGTGCGCTACAGGGAGCGGTGAGTCACTTCAAAATTCATCAATATTACAGAAAAAATACTCACCGGTTTTCACTTTTGGATCCAATACGACCTCCTGACCATCACTATCGAGGTAAAGTCCACAGAACACGGCGGGATTATTCTTATAGCGGGAATGAAGCAAACGATACCATCGATAATCCTGTTCAGAATAGAAAGCTTGTCCGCTTCTGTTGAATGCTTACTTACTTTGTTCGTTGAACATGAACGTAAATCTAACATGAAATAGCCCACGGGCTCTTTGACAGGGGTTCGACTGTCCACAGCAAACAATTGAACCTTCAGTGGGCTACGTTGCAGTCTGTGTTGTCGCAAGCTCGCTTTATCCAATTCCCAAGCCAATTCTTGTTCCAATTTTGGCTCGTTTTTGTGAGGCATTGGATCAGTGGAGAGAACTTCATTGTTGAATCGGGCTTCACAAATCAAATGATGATCAGGACGGTCTGGAAAATTTCGGCCTAACAGAACATTATTTTGATCAGTCCGATGTTCGTAACATTGCAAAAAGATGAGCATGTTCAGCAACAATTGTCATACTATATTGATATCAGTGAGTCTAAAATTATGCACTCAATAATTTTTCCATACACATATGGCGATAAAGCAGATAGTAGACGAATATTTGTCTTCTGTATCGGAAATGACAAAAACGGGAGACACCAATCTTTCAAAAACACAAATATCACATTTAAGGAATAAGGAGTATGGTAAGCGAACCACAAACAATAAAGCTTAGGTCAGTGCATTTTATCGTCATGAACTTCTTTATTTGTGCTTTGATTATAGTAACCAAATTAATAAGCCAAAATATTGGGAGATTGCTACCAATCCGAAGTTACTGAAAGCGCAAAATATTATGTGAATGGAGAAGGTAAACGCATTACTGATGAAGGTGTGGTCGACTGGCGGCAACCAATGAGGCTTTGCTGAGCAATTTTGTGCTGTCTAAAATAGGTAAGCGGTAATTTTGGCCATTTTCAAACTTGATTGTTCTTCTTGTTGTTTAAATAGATCGCGAGGCTTGATACGCAAACCTGCGAAGTCGCCATCCCTTCAACCTCCCCGATCCCGTCAGGTTTTAGTTTCTCACGTTTAGGTACTTTGAAACTTTCATTGAATAGTCTATTAACAACCAGCCAACCATACCAACTAAACCAAATGGTTCTCAAACCCTAGCGCAAGCACGCACTAATCGAGACTGCAACGGCCATTCACAGGAAGAAACTCCAAACCAGTTCTAAGACCCATAGAACCGATACAACGTAGAAGAGGAGAGCTAGTTGCCTACCTACATCTTACTGCCACACTGATCGTACAAAACGCGCATCGATTTCTCACTGCCTGCACCTGATCAATCGGTCAATGCCAGGGCATTTTTAACCTTAACGGGAAATTCTGCATTCAAATAATAAGATGTAAAGAACAAGGGGACGTAAAAGCTTGATAGCTCAACCACTTGGTCAGCCAGTCAACTGTAACTGTCCATGATTCAACGTCCTATGCATGGTGCGTCAGTGGACCAGCGCATGTACGTATGGTGTCAGGTGTCACACCATAGTAATTAGTAAATGTGTTTAAAAAGTGGTAAAACGTTGCATGCGGAGTGCGCAATGCAGAGGACTTGATCGCAATACCACAAATCATGCTGCAAACTGTAGATGCAATAGTCATTATTTTGCCACTCGAATATCGGTCTCGTTGATCCTGGAGTCCCCAACTAGAAAGTTCGACATTAATTTTATAGGCAATTCAACCTGTGTTGATCTGTCGGCGTTCACAACAAATCAAGTCTTTCACCAACTATCGGTTTTGGGAAACACTGCGCATCAAGGAGGCGTACACTGAGTGATAAAATTATGGGGACACTCAAACTGTTATCTAGCTTCCATTCTCAAACATCACAACCACATCTATCCAAACAGTGATTACTCAAGCTGTTCAATCAGAAAATCCTAAAATATTCTATAACTAAGGTAGTAAAAAAGTAAGTTATTCGCGAATTTATGCAAACAAAGTGCAGCAAAAATAGGAACAATAAACAATGACCAACAATTTTTGCACCACAGTTGAGTATAATTCATCCCTTTTTCTGATGAACATCAACACTTTATGTTCAGCGTTTTGCAAACTGCAGTGCGTTCAACATCTTCAATAAGGCAAAATAACTGTACACCTTGGGATTTCAATGTACTCACCTAACCACCAATCTCCAGAGGCACTCAGCTGGGTAAAGATACGGAAGATAAGTAACCAAAATCAAAAGGTTCAGTTCAGTTCGGTTTGAACAACCATTAACCATGCACTTTCGTGCGCCGGTTTTGGTTGCTGTCTTTTGGCTGCCCATTGGGATGAAGAATAGGAGAAGAAAGGAAAGTTGAAAGTGGATTCGAAAGGAAAATAGAGAAGTTCAGTGGACTANAGAAATTGAGGAGATGCACGAACGCTACTGTTTACGACACCCAGCCATATCGCTCAGTGTCTCTAACCATCGGTTACGATCATCCCGAGGTTTCCAGCCAGGGGGCCTAACAGGACCTATGTGACCCAGTTTCCTGGTTAGGGTTTCCATACCCTCGTGCCAGG